TCGAGCTCACAGTGATTCTCCTGCCTCAGCCTCCCAAGTGCTGGGATTACAGGTGTGCACCACCACGCCCAGCTCAGGACCACTTGTGAGAAAGAACTTTTGGTCCACAAAGCCTAGTCCTGCTACAACTTTAGGCTGATGGTAGAAAAATAAAAGCCCAGAAAAAGAGTGTGATTTGTCCAAAGTCAAAGGCCTGGGAGAGGAGCGGAGGAACCTACTGTCCCACCCTCCATCCCTGGTCCCTGGGCTGTTTCCTTGGCCCTGCCCAGAGTCCACTTGACCATTGTTGGTAGGCACTACCCTGCATCCTTCTGGGGCCTGGAGAAGATGCACTCGAGCTAGAGTTGACTGGTACTGCAGGGCCCTGTGAAGATTCCTGAGAGTTTGGGGCCATCCGTGAGCAAGCAAGTAGAACTGACACCACGAGCCTGCTGAAACCTCCAGCCTCCTGGCACCTGTTAATTCCACAGTGAGACACCCAGGCCGTCCAGAGCTGGAGGAACACACAGCTGAGGGGGCCTGAGGAGGTGCTGGAGGATACCTCGTGCCAGGCATGGTGTGCCTAATACAGTCCTTATCTCACTTCCTCTTATTCCCAGCAAGCCTTTAAAGCAGAGCTCCTGCCAGGCATGGCAGTGACACATGCTTGTAATCCCAGCACTTGTGGGAGGCTGAGGCAGGAGGATTGTTGTGAGTTCGAGACCAGCCTGGGCTATAAATTAAGCTCAAGGCCAGCCTGAACTACATAGTAAGACCCTGTCTCAAAAAGACAAAAAAAAAAAAAAAGACCAAAAAAAAAAAAAAAAAAAAAAAAAAAAGGCAGAGCTACTGTGAGCACCCCCATTTCACATATGAGGGAGCAGAAGCACAGAGAGGTGAAGTAACTTGCACAGAAGCACCCAGCTCTGTAAGAACACTCGAGCTGTACTCTTAACCACAGCACGCTTTAGTGTTCCAGGCCCTTTCCTCTCTGAAGACTGCAGCCACTCTTCCCAGAGATTTCGGGCCCAGCCTGGGCAGAAGGAGAAATGCAGGGAGGGAAGCCCAAGCAGGATGCAGAGGAGTATTTCAGATCAAACGACGGCATCGTCCCTGTTCTCTGCCTGGGCCACCTTGACCAGTGTGATACCTGCCGTGTCAGGCAGGAAGCAAGCCCTGACCCAGGAGCCCCCAGGGTAGCGGGTGGGATCCCTCTGCTATGGAACAGACACTGCAGTGCTCGGAGCCCTGGGCTGCCGTCCACAGCACCTCCGTGACCACACATCCACATAGAGGCTGGTTTCAGGCCTGCCCGGCCTCCTCCGGGAAGCCAGTCCTCTGCCTCTTCCCCGCCACCTCTCCTTTGTGCCCTGGCCTGCTCCCACCTCCCCAGTGCGTTGGCTTCTGTCCCCCAAATCAGGGCCCTGCTGCAGAAGAGGGTCTCCGGGGCGTCGATGAGCACTGAAGAGCCCGCTCAGTGCCTGGGAGCCCCTGGCGGATCACAGAGATCTATTTTTAGGATGAGCTCAACTCCATCCTCCCCGCCAGGCTGCCCCGCCTTCTCCGCCCCCATCCGAGCCAGCCTGTGAATTGAGGTCCAGACAAGCCTGGGCCCGGCTGGCCCGAGAGCCTCCCCCGGAGCCTGAAGCTAGGAGAGGGTGTCTGTCATTTGTGTCTGTCTGCACAAATGTGGGCTTGGCTGTGAGCCAGCTGGGAAGCCCACAGCCCGAGCAGGATCGGTGACCCTCAATCCCCTCCCGGGCTGCTGGCTTCCTCCATTCATCCATTCCTTCACCATTCAATGGGCCTTTGCTGGACCTTTATTCTTCCTAGTGGGAAGTAGGGTGCGGGACGCAGGAGAGCAGAGCTGATTACTAGCCTGCTCCACTCTGCACGTAGCAACCATCATCATTTAAGGAGTGTCTGTCTGAAAACTGGTAATACCAGGATGATGAGTCTTACGTTTACCTAACCTCTCTCTTCTGGACCAAAGATAGCAAGATAAGTGTAAGATATCTTCAAGATTCCAGGAACAGCAACTCTTACAGGCAGATTACACCAGGATAGGACCACCCTTAAGAGGGAGCAGTTACCCATGCCAGAAACCAGCTGCCCCTCCCAGAGCCAGCGGGACCTCAAAGAACCAGACCTGCGCTGGTAACCAACCAGATCATAGCTTGGCAGAGCCCGGTTAACTGTGCATACTTCTTCCCCGACCCCCCAGCATTTGTTCTTTCCCCCTCTGGAGTCTAAAGCTCCTGTCAGTGCCTTAAGGCAGGGTTTAGGACGCTGGCCCCGCCCCCGCTTCCCTGTGTGGCCCCCCTGAGAATAAAATTTCTTTCGCATTTCAGGACCACTCATCTCTTTTTCTGATTGAGCTCTCCGGGTGGCAGGTGGCAGATAGCAGAACCTGGTCTGTCAGGACCCCTAAAATCAGACTCCCCGGCCAAAACCGGGACAAGACCGAAAGTCGAGAGCCATCCTTGCCTCCATACCTGCCATTTCCTGCCTGTCCCCACGTAGCCGAGATGCCTTTTCTCAAAAGCACTTCACGGCGGGCTGGGGATGAAGTGCAGGGGGATCACTTGTCTATCGCTAATCCTTGGCTTTGAGCTTGGCTGCAATGAAGAAAAACCCCAAAACGCCACACTGCTACCCTTCAGGTCTGGGGGTAGGCATCACTTCAGAAGCCGTCTCCGCCTCTGGGTCAGGCACCCCCTGGGCACTCCCAAGTCCCCTCCACCACCACTATTCTGAGCTTGCTGGTCACCAGCCTCTTTCTCCTCTGGACAGTGCGCTCGGGAGGATGAGAAGGCATCTGTCTCGCTCAGTGGGTAGAATGGTGCTGTGGTTAAAGAAATGGATGGCCCAGGCTCTAGGTCCCAGCTAGCCATAGGAATGTAGGCAAGCAGTTTAAACTCCCTGGGCCTCAGTTTCTTTGTCCATGAAATGGGGATAAGGACAGTATCTCCTTTATAGAGAGAGTAGGGAGAGGATTAGATGAGCTGGTGTGTTAGCACCTTAAGCACACTTAATACATAGTCACGTTGGCTGTTACTAGCACAAGTCTGGAAGCTCTCTGTGATTCTTGGTATCCTGGGGAAAGGCTTGAACAGAACATACAGAGAGTAGAAGCAGCATAGGTTTATTTAAAGTGAAACTGCTCCTCACGGAGCGGGCTAGTGAGGAGAGCTCATGGCCCCAAAGAAACCAGGTCCCAGGACCTATATGTGGTATTTTATGTTTGTTTTTTGTTTTTGTTTTTGTTTTTCAGGAAAGAGGCAGCTCTTTGGACTGATGAAATTAGTTATTCCAGTTAGGAACAAGGCTCTTCCTTTCTGGCGTATTTTTTTGTATTGGGGGATTTTTTTTGTCTGTCTAGGGACCTTTATGGAACTGTCACAGTGGCCCAAATCCGTGGTGGGAAGGATGAAGACCACAGTGCAAAGGAGGTTATGATTTACTTGGGCTTACCTTTGGGTGCTGAGGACGGTCTGTGGTACAGGAGTCCCTTGCTTTTACCAGGTGTGGTCTAGTTGTTAGGGCAGGATGCTTTGTGTGGTCTTTGGGAAGCTATCTTGGGCTCCCCCAGGAGCCTATAGTGCGTGTGCCCCCTTGTTTTTACCAGGCGTGTCCTAGTCGTTAGAAGCTAAGGTGGTTTTGGAGAGCTGGCTTGCTCTATTCTCCTCTGCCTCTCAGGCCCCCTCCAGAGACCTCCTCCTACTTCCTGCCCCATTACCCTGTGCAGCGTCCGTGCCTCCCGCGGGGCCTTCCCCAGCGGTGTCCTAAGCCTGGGTGAGGTGGAGGAGAATAGGAATGGAAGAGTGCAGGGACAGAGGGAGGACCGGGAGGAGGGGCCTGACCCCGTCAAAGAGAGCTGGGGCGGCTTCTTGTTAGGAGGGAGGCTCTGCCCCTTCCTGGAAGATGAGGAGGAGCCCTTCGCAGCTTGTGCGACTGCCTGCCTGCCTCCCTGGTAGGCGAGGCCCTGGTGCACTCGGAATTGGTTGGCCACCACTGAGCGACATGCAAAAGGCCTGCTTCCCTCCCTGGGCATCTTTAGGACATTCCTGGCTGTATGGATCACGTCCCACCCCCAGACTGGCTGCTCACGTAGGGCAGAATGTTCCCGGGGTAGCTCCCCCATCAGATCAGCAGCTCTCAGATCAGGGGAAGACAAGCAAGGGAAAGGAGGGCACCCCTTATCATGGGGCCCTCAGGGGATAGGCTTGGATCTAACCTGGCAACTTTCTCAAGGTGGATGTTATTGTCCCCATTACAGAGATGGGCAGGCAGAGGCAGGAGGACCAGTGTCCAGTTCCAAGGCTCCCTGCCTGTCCTCCCTCACCAACCTGGGGCTCCTGCGTCTCCCTGTCACCTCTGCTCTTCCTCAGCGGGTGGCAGCACGCTGCAGCCTCTCCTTACACAAGACAGACCAAGGAGCGGCCAGGGAGTCCCTCAAGGGGCATGCACTCAAGGAGCATCAAGTTCAGGGAGAACTTGCTGTACTGACGGAACAAAAAGCTGGGGCTGGATGAGCCTGGGGTGGGGACTCTAAAGAAGAGGGGACCCATCCCTGAGACAGGTTAGAATACCTCACCTAACTCCCCTGCCACAGCCCTAACTCCTCACTCATCTGCCCGTTCTCCCATCTGCTGGTTTGTCCACTCCCCACACTCAAACACACAGTGAGGGTGACCCACGGCCAAGAGCTCAGGGTTCAAATCTCCACTAGGAGACTTCTTTGCCTAGTCCCCTCAGGAAGATTCCATCCCCTGTCTTAGCTTTACTTTTCGTATCTGTAAAAGTGACAGAGAAATCTCTGCTTTGGGGGATTGCTGTAAGATTCAGAGATAGGCTGTGACAGCTCTCGGCCAGCCCTGAGCCACGTGGTACCTGCAACCCAGGGAACTGATCTGGAAGGGGTTAAGTGGAGACCCTGCCTCCCAGCCAAGAGCAAATCAGAGCTGGCAGGGGCGGAGCCAGGCTGCTGCTGGGAAAGAGATCTAGACCTGCCAGATGCTGCCTGGAGAGGAGAGGGAGAGGAGCTGGCAGGGCTTGAGGGGCACGGGGCAGGGCAGGGTTCAGCAGACCTGGCCTCCGTTCCGTGAGAGCTCCAAGCTCGAGGGTCCAGGGTGGCTTTCAGGCTGGGGAGCGGCAGGGCTGCCCGCTGGGGCAGCAGCGGAGTGTAAAAGGACTCTTGGTCCCCCTGGCAAAGGGCTCTGACTTCAGCCGACTCTGATGGCCCGCATGGGCACGGAGTTTAATTTTAGCTCCAGCCTCAGGAGTACCTGGCCGTGGGTACGGGGTGGGTAGCCAGAGCCGCGCAGGGACTATTTAGGCAGCGAGGAGCGGGGGAGACCAGCGCTACTTGCTTCCAGCCCTTTGCCCGGCAAATGTGCTTCCTGCGGGAGCCCTGACCAGCCCTCCATGGCCTGGCAGACAGCCCTCCTGTCAGTCAAGGGCAGGGTCAGAGGGTGCAGCCACGAGGGCAGAGGGACATTGCCTTGCATTTTGGACAAGGATTGCATCAGTCTGAGCAGTGCGCAGGGGCAAGTGCCCCTACTAGTAGGGCAAAGCCTGGCTGGGTTTGGAGGCCAAGGAGACAGAGTCCTGAGCACAAGAAAGCAAGTCCAGAGAGCTGGGTCCTCCCCGCCCCCTCACGCATGGCCAGTGACTTCCTTTATGGCCCTAGGCTTGTCCTCATGGGTCTCAGTCTTCCCATCTGTACAATGACAGTGCTGGACTAGAGGGCTGATCACAGCCCCGGTCTCTGCCCTCAGGTCCTGCTCATTCTGCCTGTGTGCCTGCAGAGGTACCTGGCTTCCCCTAGCCTTGGTTGTGGGTGGCCAATGCAGTTCTGGAGAAGAAAGTCTCTCTGGCTGGCACTGTCAGCCTCCTGGCTCCTCCTCACCTTCCTGGGGGTCTTGCCCCTTCTCCGCCTAGCAGTGTCCCCCAGACCTCAGCCCATCGCCCCTCAAGGCTGGCCCTGCTGGCTGGATGCAGCTCTCCTGAGGAGTTTCTCCCAGCCTGAGGAGCCCCCAGAAGATGCACCTCAACTTCCTCAAGCCCCCCGTGGTGCCAGCTGCAGCTGGGGAATCTGCTTTGACCCCTCCAGGTGCAGGGGTGATGGCCTCAAGGTATTCGCACCCGCAGCAGCTGGACCAGCCTCTGAGATGCACCGCAGGATCCTGGCTTCCCTGGAAAGCTCCCGCTACCACACGCGCAACCTCACGGAGGCCTGCCTCCTTCTCCTCCTCAGCGCGGACACCCCGTCTGGACGGTGTGGCCCGGCTCCTCACCACTGGGATGGAGGCAGGAACCACCTGGTCGTCCGTCTCCACCCAGACCCCTGCCCCTGGGCCTCCCAGCTGGGACAGGCAATGGTGGCAGAGGCCAGCCCCAGGGTGGACACCTTCCGGCCTGGCTTCGATGTGGCTCTCCCGCTTCTCCCTGAAGCCCACCCATTGCGTGGTGGGGCTCCTGGCCAGCTGCGGCAGCACAGCCCCCACCCTAGGGCAACCCTGCTAGCCCTGGCAGAGGAGGGGGGCAGGTGGCGCACAGCAGATACCCACTCTTCCACCTGCCCCTGGGATGGGCGCTGTGAGCAAGACCTTGGATCTAAGCAGTAAGTGAATCTTCCCTTTGTGGGGCTGGACGGGAGGACGGCTGTGGTAGGAGAAGCCCCGAGCCGAGGGTGCAGGGCAGGACTGAGTCAGAGCACCAGCTGCTCTTGGCAAACTTAGGTCTCAGCTACAGCAGGAGGGAGTCGGGTTAGACCACAAGAACACTTCCACCAAGACAGTGATTTACCTCAAGGAGTGTCAAAAGCAGATTTTGGAGCTCTCCCTTGGGCATCTTGAAAAACAAAGCATGACTCACACCTACTTCCTCCCTCTCTGTTATTCCAATCCCTCCTACCCTAACATTTTATGTAACATACACTGGTGTGGTGCTTACTCTGTGATAAGCACTTTTATAAATAATGGTTATGCATAATAAACTAATACTAATCTGAGTGTTCATATATCGCACACTAGGATTAGGCAGTACTTACGCAGAGAGGTTAAGACACCCATCTGAGGTCACACAGCCAGAATGAACACGGCCAATATTTTAATCCAGAACTACATATTTCTAAAGCCTTCCGTTTGAGAGTTCTGAGTTTTAAGCAAGAGTGTTATAGTCAACCCTGTCAAATGCCTCAGTGGGGTCCTGGAGATTGGTAAGTGCTCACAGCTGGAAGCTGTTCCCGTCTAATTTGGGGGCATTAATCTCTTCAAAAAACAGCGTTTGGGCTGGGCAGTTAGCTCAGCGGCACAGCGCCTGCCTGGCAAGTGCAAGGTCGTGAGTTCAATTCCTGGTACCAGAAGAAAAACGTTTAAAAAAAAAAGCCAACAACAAAAAACAGCCTTTGGTTGTAGCAAATAGGACTTAGGTCTGATCTAAAGAAGAACTTCCTGCCAGTGAGAGCACCCAGATATAAATAAGGGCATGGGGGCCTGTGGAACATGGCTTTGCAGGAACCTCCTTCACCCAGGCCGGCTGGGGCGATGCGTCTCTGGTGACAGAGTGGTTAGCGTCCAAGCCCCGCAAGCCCCTGTATCCTAGGAGGCCAGCTGCCCCCAAAGGCTGGCAGGCGAGAGTGGAAGTTCCCTCTGAGGTCGTCCCGGCCCTGGTGGCAGAGGGCTCCCTCTCCGTCCTGTCCTCCAGCAGGCCTGGATTGGAAACTGTCCCTCCCCCATCCTGCCTGAGAGTGCCCCCCTGGGCTTGCGTCTTGTGCTCCGCTAGAATATGAACGCGACTATTCTGAGCTCCTCTTCCCTCCTGGGAATTCTTCACGTGGCCAAGCTCCAGTGTCGCCTCGAAAGGGGCTCCTGGGGCTTCTCTCCGTGAGGGCTCTTTCGGGACTGGAGGCCTCCAGGGAGCCGCACAGCCAGGGCTAAGAAGGGAACTGCCCTGCGATCCTGTTGTCCCTTCTGTGGGGACCCAGCCCTATCATCCTCAGCAGCAAGCCGAGGTGTCAGCCTCTCCTGAGGCCCCTCAGGCTCAGAGCTCAGAGCCAAGATGGACCCTCGCCTTGGTGACAGTGTGCCTGGTCATACTCTCCCTCCCTCCCTGCCTGAGTGCGCACTACGCAGCCATTCTGGCTTGTTGGAAGCTCCACATCAGCCTGACTTGGGTGACTGACTGCTAAGCGCAGTGGTTGTTGGTGAACGCAAAGCTATTTCAGTCTGAACTCTGAGAAACTGGAAGTTAGAGGGTTACATATGGCAGGAAGGTGAGCACCCTACGTGTTCACTGGTGGATCCAAAATGGACCAGAACTGGACACAGTTTGTTTTTCTAATTAGTATGGGTCACCCTCTGGGTAGGAGAGGGGTTTTTTTGGTTTTTGGTTTTTGTTTTGTTTTGTTTGCTTTTCCTAGGGCTGGGAATCAAACCCAGGGCCTTTTTAATGTTTTGTTTTGTTTTGTTTTTGTACCGGGACTCGAACTCAGGACTTTGTGCTTGCCAGGCAGGTGCTTATGCCGCTGAGCTATATCCCCAGCTCCTTTTAATGTTTTTAGTTTGAGACAGGGCCTTGCTAAGTTGCCCAGGCTGACCTCGAACTTGTTACTTCCTGCTTCAGCCCCCCAAAGTAGCTGGCGTTATAGGTATGTGCCACCATGCCAGGCTTGGGTAGCATTTTTGATAAGTTTATATCCAAAATCTGAAGCGTGGCAGCTTTTCATTGGCTTCTGAACCACAAGGAGTTTCAGCTTTGGGCTCAACCTACCACCTGGAGCCTCAGTTTCTCTGGAGTGCCAGGCAACTGTGTGGGCCAGACATTCAGTACAGGGATAGAGAGAGGGGGCCAACGGCGACAGGGCCAACCCTCAGAAGGTGTTCTGAATAAACAAGCACTGGCCAAGAACAGGCAACTCTCAGTCGCCGCCACTGTCCCAATCTCCCAGCTGGGGGGTGGGGAGCGAGCACGGGGAGCTCCTGCCTTGGCGGGGTGCCGTGCCAGGCACTTTACCTGTCATTGCAAATTCTCTCACGCACTCTTCAAGGGAACCATTGTTAGTCCGTTTCAGGGCACAGGAAACTGAGCTCAGAGAGGGGATGTGAATGAATGAACCAAGGGCCTTTGGTGACACAGTTCTGCTCCCGGGCCCCCCTCACTGTTCTGACTGGGAGCCTGGAAGTGCTCTAGTTGAGATTAAACCCTGCACTTCTGGCTCTGGCGCCTAAGTTTTTCCACCTTGGTTGAACAGTCTTCTGTTGCTTCAGAATGAGGGTCCACCCACTGAAATTGTTACTTATGTATTTTTATGAATAGGGAATTCATTCACAGGGTACAAAATTCCAAAGGCACAAAAGGTACACAGTAAAGGTCTCTCTTCCATTCCTGTCTTCCGACCACCCAGTTTCCCTTCTTGGAGCCAAGCACCGTTTCCAGTTGCTTGCGTGTCTCTTCTGAGAAGCTGTGTGTGTGTGTGTTCGGGCATGATATGCACATATATCCCCCATGTTTAAATATGTATTCAATAGTTTTTTTTCTGTCTTTTTAAGACAAGGTGTCACTATGCTGCTCAGGCTGGCCTTGAGCTCACTTTGTAGCTCAGGCTGGTCTCAAACTTGCAATGACCCTCCTGCCTCAGCCTCCCATCAACAGATGTTTTCAATTCTCCCAGCCCATATCTATTAGACACCACAGGTACCATGTCTAAGAACCAAATACTTTTTAAAGAGCATGAAAATGCTTTCAAGAGAAAAAAATGAACATTTAGATAGAAAAAAATTTTAACATATAATATTGTTTGGGCCAGGCATTGTGGTACACACCTAAAATCCCAGCACTTGGAAGGCTGAGGTAAGAGGGTTCTTGTGAGTTCAAGGCTAGCCTGGTGTGATAGTAAGTTCAAGGCCAGTCCGTGCTACAAAGTGAGACTCTGTCTCAAAAAAAAAAGTTTGATTTTATACCCACATAGATAGGAAATATAATTTATAATTTTTTTCATAGCAGTACTGGCTGGAAAGTTCAAAGTGGCTGAGGCACATGGAGCTACCATGTGGCCCTCCCTGCCTATGGCCAGACCCAGAGTAGAGCCCTATGGCCATGGGCAGGGCCACACTGATCACTCCTGGGCTCTGAGGTCCTGGATCTTCTATAGCAAACACCTTACAGAGTCATAGAATACTAACACTTTGGCTTCCACATGATGCACGAGTTCCCTTTATGACACACGCCCTTACTTAACTCTACTGATGGGAAACAAACCACCTCCCATGCCTGTCTGTACCCTCAGCTCCATTACTACAATTTGTGCTGAAATTGCCCCCCCCCAGTCCCTGTCCATTGGTCTTGGACCTATCCGCTAGTGCCCCCCTGAACATTCATCAGTTTAGCTAGCACCCACTGAGTGTTCATTCTCCACCCTGTGCTGCTAGGCCCTAGGGTGCTAAGATGAGGGAGGCATAGCCCTTGCCCTCGAGTAGCTCAGTACTGTAAGAGAGACAGACAGCTCCATGGTTTGATTTAGGCAGAGAGAGGCTGCACATCTGCTTGTCTGGCTCTTCTGCTTAAGAGCCAAATGTCCTCTTTGGACCTCAGTTTCCTGATCTGTAAAATGGAATAATATCAGTGCATGCTTCCCATCTCATAGAGTTGTTGTGAGAATAGTTAGTGTGGGGCTGGGGATTTAGCTCAGGGGCACAGCACCTCCCTGGCAAGTGCAAGGTCGTGAGTTCAATTCCTGGTACTGGAAGAAAAAACAAAAAAAAAAAAAAAGCAATCCTTGGGGCCGGGGAATTAACCCAACAGCAAAACAAACGCCCGGCAAACAAAAAGGTGGGAAGTTCAATCCCCGGAACAAAAAACAAAACAAAACAAAACAAAAAAGAATAGTTAGTATATGTAAAGCACACAGGACCAGGTCTGGAGCAAAATATGTGCCCCATAAACATTATCTGGAAGTTAAGGGGGCTTCCCAGCGGAGGCAGTGTGTGAGCACTGCATTAATGCAGAGGAGGAGGAACTCCTTAGTCCACGGTACAGGGAGGGGCATTTAGGTGGGGGGAAGGGACGCAGGTGCGCAGGGGCACTGAGATGGGAACAGGCGAAGGGCCAAGGGGTACAGGGTAGTCGGCAGGGCCTTTGGCTCTCTGGGCTCCCCAGAGCCTTAACCTAGGGGTTTTCAGTCCTTCAGGGCTTACTGGGGGTGAAGGAGACTCTACCTGCTTGGCTGGTGGCTGGCTTTTAATATGACAGAGGGTGTCTCAAAGTTTAACTCTGACTCCTTCCAGGGGTCGCCTGGTGGACACCTGCGCATCGAGTGGAGGGGAGAGGAGGCCCCTAAGCAGCGCCTCTGGTGTGGCTCATTACCAGGGATCGGGAGTTGACACATCTCAGTCCTAGTCCCGCTCTGCCCCAGCTCCCTCTGGGACTCGGGCTCCGCATTGTTCAGTGGGGGTTGCCCCAGAGGCGGCCTGACCTTCCCGGGTCTGCTTCTTGAAGGTCAGGCCGCCAACCAGATGGGCTGCAGCAGAGGAGGGTCCTGGGAACCTCTGGGACACCATCCCTCAGGCTCAGTCTGGGCAGCCCAGGGGTTCTGGTCCCCTCCGCAGCCCTCCCTCCCTGGCTGGCTCATGGACAAGGACTCCCTGAGTGGGCAGACCCAAAGAGGTGGCTCTGAGCAGGCTGTGCCGCCCTCCCCTCCCCCACAGGCACACGCAGCCTGAGTGTGGCCCTGGGGCTGGGGGTCAGAGGCGGAGGAACAGAGGAGCCCTGTCCTCTGGGCAAGAGCTTCCTGTGTGGTTCCAGGCTGCAGCCCAGCCCACCACATGACAGAGAAGCCTTTCATGGGCCTGGGCTCCTCCTGGGTGAGGGGAGGGCCAGGCACGGAGGCCACTCATGTTGAAGGTGCCTGAGAGACTGCACGTGGCAGAGTGTGAGCGGAAGAGGCCTGGGAAACATCAGGTCCCACTGCCTCCCATTTTGCAGATGAGTCAACTGAGGCCAAGTGAAAGGACGAGAGGTGTCTGAGGTCACCAAGGGTAGATAGCTAGAACGCTGGGATCCTGTCTTCCAGGGCACGGCTTGTGCATGAATCAGTGTGGCTGCGTGTGCCATGCATGTTTGTGAACACACGAGATTACAATGGTGCACACTATAAACTTGGGAGTGTTGGAGCGGGGCAAGGGGCAACTCTGTCAGACTCGCTTGTGCAGGGACCTGTCCTGTGCCTCCTTAGGACCAGCCCTGAGGAAAAGCTGCCCAACGCCACCTTCTGCCTCATCCCTGGCCGCCATGCTGAAGCCTCTCGCTTCCTCCAAGCCCTGCAGGTACAGCCCCAACTCGGGCAGCCCCGTCGTCCGTACCCCTCCCTTTGAGCTGGTAGATACGTGGGCACAGGCCCGTGGAAGGGGCAGTCAGCGTTTCACTTCTTCATTGTGGGGTCAGGTGTACCCACGGCCACGTCCGTGAGCGCCCTGCAGAGCAACGCCTTGGCCCCTCTAAACCAGCTTTCCTTTCACCTTTGCCCCTTGCCCCTTAGAGCAGCAGCTGCTGTCTTGTTGGTGTTTTTTTGTTTGTTTGTTTTTTGTTTTTTGGTCTTTTTCAGGCAGGGCCTTGGTGTGCAGTTCAGGCTGGGCTTGAGCTCACTTTGTAGCCCAGGCTGGTCTCGAACTCACAACGATCCTCCTGCCTCAGCCTCCCGAGTGCTGGTATTACAGGCATGCGCCACCATGCCCGGCTAGCTGCTGCTGTCTTGGACCTGGGCAGGGGTGAACCTGTGCGGGTTGGGACCGGGCTGCCCAGTGACTGCCCTGCCCCCCAGGCTGGCTGCATCCCTGTGCTCCTCAGCCCCCGCTGGGAGCTGCCCTTCTCTGAGGTCATCGACTGGACCAAGGCGGCCATTGTAGCTGATGAGCGGCTCCCACTTCAGGTAGCTCAGGGCCCTGCCCGTGGGTGGGGACTGGACCCAGGACACGGGAGGGACCCCGAGGTCCACCTGGCCTCAGCCCGCATTCCTATCCCTCATCTGCGCGTATCGATAGATTTCCTCCACCCTGAGCCTCCCTCTGCGGCTGCCCTGGGACGGCACTAGACCACAGTCACACGGTTACTAAGTGTCACTTAAACCCAGCTCTGCGGACCCCTAATCTCAACTGGCCAAAAGTGTCTGCTGAAAGCCACAGGGAGAGGGCTTCCGGCTCCCAGGCCCCTCCAAGGTCAGTCGGGCCCGACAAAGTCCCAGGCCTCCGCCTTTGCTCCCTCTGTGCCCCAGGTCCTGGCCGCCCTCCAGGAGATGGCTCCCGCACGGGTCCTCGCCCTGCGCCAGCAGACCCAGTTCCTGTGGGACGCCTACTTCTCCTCAGTAGAGAAAGTCGTCCACACCACCCTGGAGGTGAGGCGGACTCACCTGTTGCTCCCACCCCCGGCCCCGGTCTCCTGCTTCATCTGCGCAGTCTCTAAGCTCCTCTCCCTGGACCCCTTCTTTTCCCAGTCTTGGGTTCCTCTGTGAAGTTGCTCGTGGGCTGTGAGATCTTGGCCCCTCCCCTCGAGCCCTGACCTTGGTTTCTCATCTGTAGAGGAGACCGCCGTGGCACACACCCTCAAAGGGTGTGCTAGTTCCAGCTGATGGCAGTGGCTAGGTAGGGAGGAGAATCTCAGGATCGCTCAGGACTCTGGGTCCTGAGGAAATGTTATGATCTGTGGGTTATGTCAGCTGTGGGTGAGGAAGGAAAGGAACGCAGCAAGACCATCAGGTCTGGTGATATTGGACCTGCAAATGATACTGGGAAATATTGTAAACCCTACCCTGCTAGATGTCCCATACGCCGTGTTCGTGTTCTCCCAAACTGAAAAGCGAATCCTGAGGAACAATGGGGGGTAAGAGGAGGAAATTGTATTGAGGGAAAGACAGCTCCTGAGAGACAGGAGGGGACCCGGAAAGTGGGTTGCCACAGACTCCATTTTTATGGAGGAGGTTTTATAGAGCAAAATCAGGAGGTAGGCTGAGCGTGGTGGTGCACGCCTGTAATCCCAGCACTCGGGAGGCTGAGGCAGGAGGATTATTGGGAGTTTGAGACCAGCCTGGGCTACAAAGGGAGCTCAAGGCCAGCCTGAACTGCAAATCAAGACCCTGTCTCAAAAAGACAAAAAAAAAAAAAAAAAAAAAAAAAAAGCCTGAACTGCAAATCAAGACCCTGTCTCAAAAAGACAAAAAAAAAAAAAAAAAAAAAAAATCAGGAGGTGGGTGCAGGTGTACAAAACTGTGATCAACCAATAAGATTACAAGTATAGGTGCTTAGGTAATGTAGAGCCAATGGGGAAGCAGGTCACATAGCAAGTGTGCATGGGAAGAACAAGGACCTTTTAGGAAAGGATGGGTCAGGGGGTCCTGGTCACCCACCCGGTGACCGATGCCTGTTTAGAATATCCATTACAGTATATTGTTTATCCCTCAGGGAGGCACATAGGTGTAGTCATTCCCCCTTTATCTTGACTCCTGAACTTCAACAAAGGTGCCTCCAGCCACAGTTGTAATGTGTTATCTTCTGCGCTGACTCCTTCGAGGGCATAGCCCTGTCTGACCCTCTACCAGTTCTACCTGACTTCGCTGTCTATAATGCTGGCACTTGTAAGAGGCTATCGCAGATGCTACGCCTCTAGATTGCAGCTTCTAAACTTCTGGCCCCGGGGGTCTGGTGCCACAGCTGCTGCCCCCCCCCCCCCGAACCTGAACAGGCAGGTGCGAAGCTCTGCCCCGCCCTGACTTCCTCAGACCTCGGGGCTGCAGTCTTGGGGCCACCTTGGCCACCCCTCCTTTCTCACTTCGCAGATTCTTCAGGACCGGATCTTAGGCGTATCTGCCCGCCCCTCACTGCAGTGGAACAGCCCTCCAGGAGCCCTCCTGGCCCTGTCCACTTTTTCCAGGCGGCCCCAGGACTTCCCCTTCTACCACCTGCAGCAGGGTATGTTCTGGGCATAGGACAACATGAAGGCCCCTCAGCTGTCCCCAGGTCTATCCTGGCCTCACCCATAGGGCCCTGCCGAGACCTTCCCCAAGCCTCCAGCATGGATCCTGGCTCTTGGGGTCCCCTCCTCAGGAACTCTCCGGAGGGTTGTCTTTCCCCACCCTAACAGCCTGTGTCTCCTTTCCCCAGGCTCCCGCCCTGAGGGCAGATTCAGCGCCCTGATCTGGGTGGGGGCCCCCGGCCAGCCCCCCCTGAAGCTCATCCAGGCGGTGGCAGGCTCCCAGCACTGTGCTCAGGTCTGCCCCCACGACCAGCTGGAGTCCTGGGATGCAGGGTGGGGAAAGGGGCAGGGCAGGGCTCTTTAAGACACCTAGAGCCCAAGGATGACCACATATTTTCTCGGGAGGCAAAGAGATCTCCAAGGGTTCTTGCGGCCTTCCTCTTCAAGTACCAAGTTTTTTGTTCCTTTCCCCAATTCCCTGGAATTGCTGAAGCCCCTTAAAGCTGGTGCCTCTTGAGGAGGTTGGAGAAGTCAGCATTCACTCATTCATTCCTGCACTCAGCAGTTATTTTCTGGCTCAGACCCCGGGCATGCAAAGAAAAAGCAAGACGAGATTCTGCCCCAGGATTCAGATTCTGTTGGCGTGTCCTGGCACCCAGGCTGTCAAATCACGTTTCAGGGAAGCCAGGTAGACGCTCAAAGAGGATAGCTGCTCAGAGGGACATTTGGGCTGGGCTGGGCATGAAAAGAAGCCAGGGGAGAGAAGGCAAAGCTTAGAGAAAAGAAAGGGAGGGGGCGTGGAGTCTGGGCCCTGGCAGAAGGCGACCACAGCACCAGATTTCTTGCCTTCTGGAGCCCAAAGGCAAGGACAGGGCAGCAATGAAAGGACCCCAGATCCAACAAATCACCTCACACATGCGCCTCTGGGACTGTCCCCAGAGAGTCATTCCTGGGACCCCCGCCCCCCAGGCCCCAGGCTTCAGGAGCCCCCTTCCCTCCTAGATCCTGGTTCTCTGGAGCGGTGAGAAGCCACTCCCTTTCAGGTGGCCGGACACGAGGGTGCCCTTGACAGTCGTGGACGGGCACAGGAAGGTGAGCGCTGGGAGGGGCTAGGAAGGGTCGGGCTTGTGCTGGGACCTGGGGAGGCGCTCAGCGCCTTTCGCTTGTGCCGGAGCCAAAGCCAGGCTTCGAGACGGGCCTGAAGAAATCAGACCTTGGGTTCCAGCTGCAGACCTATGGAAATGATTCTGTTCCCTCCCTGGCCCTTGTGAGTGGTGCTTCCAGAGCACTAGGCTCTCTGTGAGGAGGGAAGGCAGAGCAGTGTGCGGGTGACGCAGACAAGGGACAGGGAGACCTGGGACTTTGAGGAAATATGGAGAGGAATGGGGCCAGGAAGAGGTGGCCTCTGAGAAGCTAGGCGGTGTCACCACTGATCTGCCCTGTGCTCCCAGCCCAGTCCCTTCCGCTCCCTGGACCTGTTTCCTTCAAATGAGGGATGTTTGAAGGAAATCCGCTCCCAGGGTTGACGTGAGGTCTAATGACAGTGGGGGAAACCTGAGGTGTCACAGCTGAAGGGCCCCTAGAGGTCCCAAAGGTCCCAGATCTCGGCATCCAGGCCTTGCATCTGGATTTTTTCTTTTGTACCGGGACTTGAACTCATGACCTCAGGCTTGCCAGGCAAGCGCTTATACTGCTGTGCTACAACCCCAGCATGAAGGGCCCCTAGAGACCAGCTCCATTTAACCAAAGGGGCCATTGGAATCCAGACAGTGCAGTGAGTCTGGGGCTTGCTGTATTTGCAGCCCTTCCTCTCCTACTCATTGGCGCTGGGCTTTCCCGTGAGAGTCACCCTCATCCTTTCCCACTGCAGGTCAGTGACCGCTTCTTTCCGTACAGCGCCATCAGCACCGACGCTATCCTCAGCCTCGATGCCCACAGCAGTCTTTCTACCAGTGAGGTGAGCAGGGCCCAGGAGGAGCTCGGTGCGGTGGGCACAGAGTCTGCAGGCAGAGCCAGGAGGCTCTGGCAGGTCATGAGATACAGCCTCTTGCTTGAGGAACCACTGTAGCAAGCCAGGGGGCTTCCCCTTTAGACGTCTAAGAGAGATATTCCCAGATTCTCTTTTCTGATTTTATTTTTTATTTTTGAGACAGGGTTTCACTATGCAGTTCAGGCTGGCCTTGAACTCACTTTGTAGTCCAGGCTGGCCTTGAACTCACAGTGATCCTCCTGCCTCAGCCTCCCAAGTGCTGAGATTACAGGCATGCACCACCATACCTGGCTGTTTGTTTGTTTTTGAGACAGGGTCTTAGTATATAGTTCAGACTGGCCTTGAGCTCACTATGCAGCCCAGGAGGCCTCGAACTCATGGTGATCCTCCTGAGTGCTGGGATTACAGGCATGAACCATCATGCCGGTCCTCTCAGGCTCTTTTGAACATTATTTTTGTGGCTCCAGCCAAGAAAGTTCCCCCTAAAAATGCCCCTGAAACATTCATACCACGCTTCTAGTCAACCCCAAGCAATGGCTCCTATCCTCTTCCTGCTGAACCCCATCCCGACCCCCATCAGGCAGCCTCGCCTCCACAAGATACAGGGGTGTTTCTGGCTGGTCTGGAAGTCCTTCCTCACAGCCCACTTAACTCTCTCCAGGTGGACTTTGCCTTCGTGGTGTGGCAGAGCTTCCCAGAGCGGATGGTGGGCTTTCTCACATGGAGCCACTTCTGGGATGCGGCCCAGGGTGGCTGGGGCTACACTGCTGAGACGGCCAATGAATTCTCCATGGTTCTCACCGCGGCTGCCTTCTACCACAGGTACAAACGCTGGGCTGGTGCAGGGATCCCAGGGCCAGTGACTCCCTGCCTGAACCAGGAACAGGGTGGCCTAGCGCCCGGAGACCCAGGTTCAGGGCCCAGCTCTGTCACTTCCCGCTTATGTCATCCTGGGCAACTCACTTCTCTTGAGTATCAGTGTCTTTGTCTGTAAAATGGAACGTGTTCACCTCACAGGGATGGAGTGATCATCCAGTCAGGTCCCCGGCACACACGTTCAACAAACAGCTAGTGTAGTTTTCCATAGAAGTGCAGTAGTCAGTGGGTAAGGACAGTGTTTGGGTTGGGGATGGTGGTGATGGGGTAACAAGAGAATGGTTTTGTTTTGTTTTGTTTTGTCTTTTTGAGACAGGGTCTTTCTATGCAGTTCAGGCTGGCCTCGAGCTCACTTTGTAGCCCAGGCTGGTCTGGAACTTGCAACGATCCTCCTGCCTCAGCCTCCCAAGTGCTGGGATTACAGGCCTGCACCGCCACGCCTAGCTAGGAGAATGGTTCTGATGTGGTGTAAATCTGGATCTGCTGGGGAGCATCCCAGGCCTTCCCCAAGCTGCCTGAGGTGCCCCGGAGCCTCACTCTTGGGGCAGCAACTGCACTGCCGAGGAGCTCCTCAAAGCAGTTCCTTCAGCGTGTTTCAACCCATCTGTGTAGCGTGGAACTCTGCGGATTCATCCAGGGACCCTGCAGGGAATTTTTAGTAGAGTGAAGGACATCCCTCATGTCTGCAGGGCGACCCAGCTCGTGCTGTGGGGCATCAGCGTGAACCATCTCCTCTCCTGGTTATTCCATAGTCTTCCTGGAGCTGGCATCTGAGTAGCCATGTTTGATTGCCCCTCCCTGGCCCCCCAAGCCTGGCTTTGCCTGAGCAGGGCATGCCATTGCATGGAGGCAAGCCAGGGCCTGTGGAAGGCGGCTCATAACTCGGGTGAGAGATCTCTAAGGCAAACAGGGCCAGGAGCAAGACTTTTGAAAGAGGCTTAGGGATCAGGGTCGAAGGCCGAGGTGAGGTCAGCAGGGAGGAGATGGGGCCTAGGGACGGCGGGGGACTCAGCTGCAGTCTCTGTCCTCCCTTCTCGCCCAGGTATTACCACACTCTCTTCACCTACTCCCTGCCCAAGGCCATGAGGACCCTGGCAGACGAGGCACCCGCCTGCGTAGACGTCCTGATGAACTTCCTAGTAGCAGCAGTCACCAAGCTGCCCCCTATCAAAGTGCCCTATGGCAAGCAGCACCAAGAGGCCGCTCCACTGGTGAGGGCCGGCGGGCGGGCCGCACCCGGACAGCCTGGCTGGGGGCGGAGCGGGGCTTCCTCTCTCTGTCTAATCCAAATCCTTTTTGCTCCGGGGCAGGGGTTGTGGGAGCCTCAAAGGGCAGAGGGGCCCATCGAGGCGTTTGTCCTCCACCTTGTAGGCTCCTAGGGTTCCGGGATCCGGGCCCCAGCCTCAGCCGCCACACCAAGACTGCATCAACCAGATGGCGGCGGAGTTCGGGCACATGCCTCTGGTCTCTTCTCGCCTGCGTCTGGACCCCGTGCTATTCAAGGACCCAGTGTCTGTGCAGCGCAAGAAGTATCGCAGCCTGGAGAAGCCCTAGGAGAGACCCGGGGGGTCCTAGCCCGGCTCCCGGGGCTCCCACACCCCACGCCACACCCCGCGGCCGGGCGGCGCTGGGCAGCGCCTGGATGCGCCGCGCCCTCGCCTCTGCTGCTGCGCCTCGGCTCGGGCGGACCCGCTCGCCTCGAATGCTTTCCCCTGCTACTCCGCCCAGCTGCCTTTACTGTCTTTCAGATCCTTGCCTGACATTTATGTTCGATCTCACAGGGTTCGGGCCGTTGATGCTGTGGCGGTTTCGGAACCGTTCACACCGGCTGGCAACGCGAACACCGGCCGGCCCCAGGACCGGCCTGGGAGTCCGGAGGGCGGGTCGCGTCCTCTTTTCTCTGGTCTGGCAGGAGCGCCGCAAACATTTGATGGGTGGAAGAGACATTAACTGCCTGTTAGCGTGGACGCTGTGTGCGGAGAGACAAAACCTCCCACCCCGGGGCTCCTAGTCGGCGAGGAAGGCAGCCATCTACAGAAGCCTGGGTTGTCAGGCTTAATCCCCGCGCCCCAGGGAAGGAGCAAAGAGGTGCAGGAAAGCCAGGAGTCGGAGGAGGAAAAGCGATGGGACCGCAGGTGACGCATCCCTGCCGCGCAGGACCCTGGGCTCTGGCACCACCAGCCTCCCCGCATTACCGACTTGTGCCACTAGAGGTCAGCGCCGCACCGCGCTCCCTCGGCCGAAGGGCCTGGCGCTGTAACCTTCCCCTGGCGGGGGGGCGGGGTGAGAGGGCGAGCCCCGGGCGTGGAGGGTCGGCCGTGTGCACCGCCCGGGGTCTGGGGTCTGCAAACACTGGAGAAATCGGAAAGAACATCCACACCCCTTTGGTTTACACACTCGGAGCCCCGCAAGAAAGGACTATTTCTGGTGGACAGGGCAGGAGGGGGGCCGTCCCCAGCGCCCCGTAGGTGAGGGTGGAGTGGGGGAGGGCGCTGGTTCTCTCCCGGCTTCGTCCACCTGGAACTGGAATTATCACTTCCGAAATAAAACGCGCGTCCTTGCCCCTTCACGCTCAGGCTATAAATACACGTACAGCAGCTGTGCGCACCAGGCAGGGAGGGGGGCTCTCCAGAAGCCCGGGTGACCAAAGGGTGGGGGTGAGGGGTCCAGTCCCGTCTAGGGTGTCCGGTGTTTTCCTGATTTGAGGGATTCGCTGCTCTGGAAACTCCCGTGACTACGTCGCCCTCTGGAACATGGTGTCCCGAAGCCCTCTGCAGACCGCCCACCCCCATCCTCCGGCTTGACCTCTGGCCCCTGGATGACTCAGCCCTCCCCGGAAACTCACTACTGGGCATTCAGAGTAGGTGTCCCTTGGGGGGCAGGGTGCCTTGAGGCTGGAGGTACGGGGAGACTGGAAATGAAGGTGGGAGGGGCGCAGTCGCGCCCAGGATAGGAACAGTTAGCGGGAGGGGCGTGGGGCGGCACACAGCTGCGGCTGGGCGGCCTTCCAAGGCAGGAGCGCTCCCAGAGCCAGACCAGCCAGGGCACCGCGGCACCTTTGCAACCGCCTTCAGCACCCAGGGCGCTGAACTGCCTTGGCATCGCTGTGCCTGTGGGGTGGGCACTGCTGGACTCGGAGGCTCAGAATGCACCAAATGCAACTCGGAGCAGGTCCCCAGCCCCTGCAGTAAGGGTGGTCCCGCAGATGAGGCAGAAATCCCAGACCTGCTTCACACTGGGAGCCTCACTCAGCCTCTCTGAGCCTCACTTTTCTCATATGTAAAAACAGAAGACACCAAATGACTGCTCTGGGAGGGGAGTAAGGACTTGGAACATGGGGAAGCCCAAGATCTGGGTTCCTGGGGCCTGCGGGGATTGCAGGGCGGACATCCGACTCCTTCAGACTGGTGGTGTGCAGCACAGTCATCACTGTCCTCCTGCCTCCTGGCCCTTCCAGGCCAGCACTGACGACTTCCCAGTAACCGTGAGAGGCTGAAGCACCCCGGACCCAGATCACAGGCAATCCCAGTAACAAAGAAGAGGCTAGCCGGGCATGGTAGCGCATGCCTGTAATCCCACCACTTGGGAGGCTGAGGCAGGAGGATCGTTGCAAGTTTGAGACCAGCCTGGGCTACAATGTGAGCTCAAGGCCAGCCTGAACTGCATAC